GGGTTTTCAGTTTTTAAATTGATAAATACACAAATGTTAGTAATATTATTTACTATATTTTAGGGGCCCAGTAACGTCTCCATTGGAGACTTTGTTGTTACTGTGTCTGGCATATCGAATACTCTCGGTAGCTTGCCGGGCTCTCCGAGAGGGGCAGAGGAATCGAACTCGGGTCGGCCATGTTGGCCGTGTGTAAGGCGAACGCCCTACCCGCTGTGCTATCGCTCCAGCCCAGGGAACTGCCTGAAATGTTCCAAAAAATTTTTGAAAGGAAGGATCTCACATAAATAAAAAATATTGGGTAATTTTGAAAGTTTTTGACTCAAAAATATGGGTTAATTTCAAGAGTGGCCGAGATTAGTACCAGGAGGTTTGCTCCATGGCTTGAAGACCAGCCACACATGCTAGGGGAAAAGGGAGCTCAGATAGAGAAGGGAGCACCAAATAAAGGGTGTTGGGAGGATCCCCCCAGGATGGGAGAAGCATGCCTAAAGTAGACTATAGACCAAACATGATTGCCACTCAATGCCTCTTTTGCAAACCACAACACCCAAGAAGAGAGAGAAAACAAAAGGGAATGCCCTGCCACAGAGGCAGGGGGGGATGGGGGGGATGGGGAGGAGGGATACTGGGACCCGTGGTGGTGGAAAATGGGCACTGGTGGAGGGACGGGTATTTGATCATTGTATAATTGAAATCCAAGTACAAAAATCTGTAAGTCTACAACTGTACTTCATGGTGTTTCACTAAGAAAAATTTAAAAAAATATATGGGTTAATTTAACTACAATAAACAAACAACTTTTCTACATCACAAACATCAGAGAAGGTATCTGATAAAAATGAACTTGGTTATGCATTTGTGTCACTTCCATCCCAAGTTTTAACGGGATATATATATATATGAATAAATTCACATAAATACTAAAATCAGGAACAATCACTAACGTAGTATTTTTTTGAGTATTTTTTCTGATTTACATGATAGTCTTATACATTCAACATATCAACACCACACCTTTCACCAAAATGTCAGCTTTCTCCCATCCCTTTTTTTTTAGTGAATTTCAGGAAGTTGGAAAATGGATGCTACCTTACTGGAAATGATCCTGGACAGAGAAAACTGTAGTTCATAAATAGTGAGATGTCACTGAGCTGCAAATACAGTAATTCTTTCTGACAGAATGCCATCTAACTCTAGGCTCGAAGAGGAAAGACAAAGAACAGGTGTGGACTATGGTTAACTGTGGTTAATCAAGTAGATGCATAATGAAAGACCTGTCTACTAACAGCTATTCCTGGAACACAACAAACCCATCCCACCCACAACCCACTCCCACTCCTGCCAGGGAGAAATAAAGAAGAGACAGAGAGTGAAAAAAAAAAGAAGAATTCAGCTGGAGTCTCAGGACCTGTTTTCTTACAGAATTTCACCTTCACAACTAAATTCTTTCTACCTCTAAATGTCTTAATTTTGGCAATGATAGATTTACTCTGCCTTTTCCTTTTCAACCATTCTGAAAGAACTCTGCCAATACATAGCAATCGACAAATTTATACTCATGAAGTGATTTTTCTAGAGAGAGAGCTTCTGGTTAAAAAAAAAAAAGAAAAAAAAAACATTCAACTGGATGAACCAGCCAAGACAAAACCACTATTTTGTTGTTGTTTTTGTTTGGGGACCACACCTGGAATCTTTACCCAGTCCTGGCTCTGCACTCAAGAGTCTTTCTAGCTGTGCTCAGGGAACATACACGATGCCAGCGACTGAACCTGTGTTGGGCGTGTGCAAGGCAAACGCCTCACCCACTGACGATCTCTCCAGCCCAATCCAAACCACTACTTCACGTGGCCCTTCATTTTAAAAAGGATCTCCAGTCACTCCGAAAAAATAAAGACCATGAAAGAAAAAAAAAAATAAAACAAATAACAATGATAAATAATTCTGGGGAAAAAAATAGATAATAAATAAAACGCAACATCCAGTAAATTTCTTGGATATTTTTAAGGAATGGATGCTTTAGAAAAACAAACAAGAGTCAGATAAAGGTCCAGGAAACAGAACACAGGGATGGAGCACATGCTCTGCACGCTAGAGGACCCAACCTTTGCTGCCACGCGATTCCATTAGTACTACAGGAGTGACCCCGGGCACTGACCCAGAAGCAGGCCCTTAACACCGCCAGGTGTGGCCCCCAAAACAAAAGAGTTAGGGAAAATTTCTCTTTTATCCTTTTATGCATATCCACAAAAATCTTTTAGACTTTCATAAATTAGTACAATTTCTTTTTCTGTAAGATTTTACTCTTTCATAGGCTACACGATATTCATGATTCGACATAATACCCAAAGGAAATTCAATAAACAATTTTCTACATATGCATTACGTACTTTCCAAAAGAGAACAAAATACTGACTGAAATATGCTAGGACCAATAGAGTTCTGCGTCACTCTCTCATTTTTCTGTTGAGAGAGTGGCCCAAACAAATTTCAGTTAAGTACTGGAAATGGTATGCGCATTTGAAAAGACAAGAATTAATCTACTACATTCCTAAGCGTTTAAGACTCTCAATCTGGACATTTTCTAGCATCATAACAAAGTAGGACTAGACATGATCCAGTCAATCCACTCCCTGCTCTCTATCCCGAAAATGGGAAAAAAAAATTCAGAAAGATACTTGCACACATATGTTCACTACAGTGCTGCTCACAATAGCCAAGATTTCAATACAACCCAAGTGCCCAACAACAGATAAGTGGGTAAAAGAAGTTGTGGTATATACATGCCAGGGAATACTGTAGCAGAACAGGAAAAGTTAAAATCTTTTTGTTGTTGCTTTTAGCAAAGATGAAATCTTGCAGTTTTACTAAACATGGACAAACCTACTGGGTGCCACGGTAAAGAAAGAAGACAAATAGCAGATGGCCTCACTTACATGCGATAAATGAGGAAATAAAGCAAAGAAATAGGTAATGGACAGTAACAAGAAGCCTTAGACTTTGACAACAGAACTGAGTTTACCCATCTGGGCCTGGAGGAGGGCCATGACAGAATGGGAAGGAGTAGAGTGGCCGAAAAGGGACGTCAAGACAATGACAGAAAGATATTAGTAAAACTTTGGTGGTGTAGTAGGATTGTATGACTAAAGCATAAATATCAATACTATAGTAAACCATGTAAAAATAAATAAGTAAACCACTATAATGATAAATTAAAATTTGTAGTTCACCTTCAAAATAAATAAACGAAACAAGTGCTTAAATGATATCCCAAGTGCTTTAATGATATCCAGATGAGCCCAATATCATTTTCTAAAGCATGCAAACAAAAACATTTATTTAAAGAACAAATATTGCCACTCAGTGCCTCTTTTGCAAACCACAACACCCAAAAGGAGAGAGAGAAGAGAGGGGAATGCTCTGCCACAGAGGCAGGGTAGGATGGGGGCGGTGGGGGGTGAGAGGGATACTGGGATCCGTGGTGGTGGGAAATGGGCACTGGTGGAGGGATGGGTATTTGATCATTGTACAACTGAAATGCAAGCACAAAATTTGTAAGTCTACAACTGTACCTCATGGTGTCTCACTAATAAAAATTAAAAAAAAAATTGGAAGACTTAAAATAAATAAATAAAGAACTAAAGAACAAATATTTGGGAGTTGGGGGCAAGAGTGATAGTACTGTGAGTAGGATGCTTGCCTTGCTGCATGGCCAACTCAAGTTTTATCTACATATACTACATACCTGAGCCCCACAAGCAATGGTCCCTAAGCACAGAGCCCTAGCACCCTTGGGTGTGGCCCCCAAATTAAAACTAAGTGATAAGCAACAACAACCACATATACTTTATTTATCATGAGAAGTACTTTAGTCTGTATCAAATGACACAGCTAAATGTCATCTATCTAGTGCTCCTCATAAATACAAAATAACTGAGTATCAAGCTATTATTTAGGTGCTAATCTTTTTGGTTTTTTTTTTGTTTTGGGGCCACACCCAGGGATACTCAGGGTTATCCTGGTTCTGTGCTCAATAATTATTCCTTGTGATGCTTGGGGGACAGTATGGGCTGCCAGAGATTGAACCCGGGTTAAATACCCTACCCATAAGGAGTACTATCACTCCAGCCTCTAGATGCTAATCTTAATAAAACTATAAATCTAACAAAGTGAATTTTCAGAGTTCCAGAGTCCCCTCTGTAGTTCTGCCCCAACAATGGTAAATATTCCTCCTGTTTACATGTCAGTTCCTGGCCACAGCCACGTTTATGAAAAGGGCCCTGAAGATAACCTAGTCTAATGCATCATTTAAGAAAGAAGGAAACCCAGGCTTACACAGTGAGAGCGATTTACCAAGGTCCCACAGGAAATAAAGCCCAATCAGGCCTTTGCTGCCCCATGCAGTGAGTACTCATTCCCCTATAGCAGCTGCTGCTTTATATAAAAAATGCAAAGGATATGATATTTACATATGTATTCATATGTAAATAAAGGCCTCTCCTCTCTGGCCTTTTCCCTTTTGGCATAACAATATAGCTTTCAGTCACTAACAACCTTAGTTTTTATTTGGAGAGGGGATTCCCAAGCTTGAAGACCACACCTCACAGAGCTCAGGAGCTCCAAGGACTGTACTGGGAGTGACATTCAAAGAACAAGGCTTGCTGAGGCTTGTACTCATGTCAAACCTAATCACTATTCTGTCTCCTAGCACCCACCTATCTTTTTTATTGTACATCACATAACAAAGCAGAAAGGGATTGAGTATTCATTTACTATAGATGATCTATTAACTGATAATTCTTTTTTTCCATTTTATAGTAATCTTTTAAAGGAGAAAACACTTGATGCCTCCAAATTAAAATATTAGAATGTTTAATGATTATATCTATAATTTAAATTCAGAAAAAAAGATTTTGGGGCATAAAGAAATGTTGCAATATTTATTCCAGCTCCTCAGAAAAAAACTCACAAGGCACTATAAATTCCATTTTAATACTCACCACAAAAGTGATCTGATTGTGTCGCAGATTAAGTTCAGTTAATGAATCCAGTCCATTAAGATTATCAACATGACTTAAAAGGTTCCTGGCAAGATTTAATACTCTCAAATCCCCCAAATGATTGACATTTTCAATTTTGGTAATCTGTTTTTTAAAAAAAGGAAAGTGAGATATAAGTACTCAAAAGCCTATTGTCTCTAAAAACAAATCATCATAACATAAGAAATTCAAAGGCTTGACTGATTTTTGATTGATTGACTTATCATTTGCTCCTGACTCAGACAAATAGGCCTAAGTCTTTCTTTGAAATTTCAGTCAGGTAACTCTTGAAAAATTCAACATAGGTATAATTCCCAAAACATTTCCTAATCTAAGTTTCCTGAGTATTTTTTCTCTCAAGAAAAAAATTAAAGGGTTTCACAATACCTGATTTCCATGAAGGTCTAAGACATCTAAACTTTTTAAATTCTCCAGATTTGAGATTTTCTTTATTCTGAAAAACAGAAGTAAAGTGGAATTTGAGACGTATTCACCTGTATTAGAAATCAAAACATGCTAAAGCGTAATTCTTTTCAATTTATTCTACTTAGTTATATAACTATAAAGATTTATATATATATATATATACACCACCAGATAGAAATAAATAAGCCTATCTATTTCCAATTATGTGTGTGTGTTTCCTAGTGATTTAATTGTAATATTAAAGATGTAGTTCCAGATGACTGGTTAAAGAAACTCTGGTACATCTATACAATGGAGTACTATGTAGCTGTTAGAAAAGATGAAGTCATGAAATTTACATATAAGTGGTACTACATGGAAAGTATCATGCTAAGTGAAATGAGTCAGAAAGAGAGGGATAGACGTAGAAGGATTGAATTCATCTGGGGGACATAAAGTAACAAAATAGAAGATTAATGCCCAAGAATAGCCGAGATAAGTTCCAGGGGGATTACTCCATGGCTTAGAGGCCAGCCGGGCATGCTAGGAGAAAAGGCAGCTCAGATAGAGAAGGGAGCACCAAATAAAGGGTGTTGGGAGGATCCTCCCAGGATGGGAGTTGCATGTTGAAAGTAGACTATAGACCATACATGATTGCCTCTCAATGACTCTTTTGCAGACCACAACACCCAAAAGGAGAGAGAGAACAAAAGGGAACACCCTGCCACAGAGGCAGGGTGGGATGGGGAGGATGGGGGTGGGAGGGATACTGGGATCCATGGTGATGGAAAATGGACACTGGTGGAGGGATGGGTATTTGATCATTGTATAATCGAAACCCAAGCACAAAAATTTGTAAGTCTACAACTGAACCTCATGGTGTTTCTCTAATAAAAATTAAAAAAAAAAAGATCTAGTTCCCAGGGGGCAGGCCCAGGGAGATATCCGAGAAGGGTAAGGACATGTTTGCATGCTGGAGGCCCAGGGTCAATTCCCTAAGTCCCACACAGCAGCACTGGGTGTTCCCAAAACAAAACAAAAGAATAAAAAAGCTGTACTTCCACTGGGGGTAACCACTGGGGACAAAATCCCAAAGACAATGTAAAATTCTTATCTTTAGAGGAAAAAGTTCTACTTTTTTCATGTTTTTTTATTGTCATTTTGAGGTGAAAAGGTATTTGAGGCCACATCTGACAGTGCTCAGGAACTACTCTTAGTGATTCTGGGTCACCAGGCAGTGCCAGGGATCAAACCTGAGGATTATGCACGCAAAATATGCAATCCAACCTTACTGTCTACTCTCTGGAACAGATACTCTAAAGACTTTAGAACAAGGCACTTATTTAAGGTAGTCCCCTTTACCTCAGAATATAATTTAAATGCTTTGTGTCAATCCTCAAGGCTCTAAACCATCTAGCTGCAGACTCTTCCTCCAGCCTTATCACCAATGACTCAACCTCATTCTCACTCTGTCCCACACACCTGGCTTTCTGTTCTATCTGCCTTGATGTCCTTCAGAACTTCACATGGTCCATATAACAGACATTCACATGACTCCTGTCTTCACACTGCCCAGGTCTAAACTGAACCATCTTAGAGCAACCTTTCAGAATCCAAACAGTTCTCCCTTCTTCCCCCCATTACTCTCTCCTCTTGAAGACTGGCTTCATAATATTTATGCTTGTCTCAATTTTTTGTATGTGTTTGTGTTTGATGATCTCCTTCCTGAAACCAAAATATGAGCTTCATAAGGACAGAAACGTTGACGTGTTCTAAACTATATTCCTAGCAGTACTTACAGCAGTGCCTGGTACCAAGTCAACTACTAAGAAATATTTGTTTAATGAATGAATGACCAAACTAAAGAAGTGAGTTATATTTACAAGGGTATTCAAAGTGGTATTATTTATTGCAGACAGCAACTGAAACCACCTAAATGTTTTCTACCAGGTCTTCTCTATTTGTGAATATTTATTTGAAATTTTTAATTTCCCACCTTGTGAAATTAAAACATTTCTACGAATTAAAAAGGACAAAACTTTGTCTCAATAATGCTCCCTCATAGTCCATAATGTTTAGATCCTACCCATTCATTCTTATTTTCTAGGCTTACACTTACACCTATCTTCCCTTTACTAATGATAGTAGGAGAAAGTAGGATATTTCGGGGGAGAGACAATGTTTTAAAAATGGGCGCTGGAGAGATAGCACAGCGGGTAGGGCATTTGCCTTGCACACGTCCAACCCGGGTTCAATTCCTAGCGTCCCCTAGGGGATTCCTCTACCCCTCTCGGAGAGCCCGGCAAGCTACCAAGAGTATCTCACCCTCACAGTAAAGCCTGGCAAGCTACCTGTGATGTATTCGATATGCCAAAAACAGTAACAACAAGTCTCACAATGGAGATGTTACTGGTGCCCGCTCGAGCAAATCAATGAACAAGGGAAGGACAGCGTTACAATGCTACCACTGACTAGTAAAGTAAAGGCCCTCCCATTGATCATCGATTTGCTCGAGTGGTCCCAGTAACGTCTCCATTGGAGACTTTGTTGTTACTGTGTCTGGCATATCGAATACATCATGGCGAGCTTGCCAGGCTCTGCCGTGTGGGCGAGATACTCTCGGTAGCTTGCTGGGCTCTCCGAGAGGGGCGGAGGAATCGAACTCGACTAGTAAGAATAAATAGTCTAAGACCCATGTTCTAAGGGGAAAGGGTGGGGAGGGGGGAATAGAACTGGGTCTGGAAATCACACCATACCTAAACTTCATCATTTCATAACATGAAAATCACTTTTTAATTTTACTAGACACTTCAGGGAACTGGAAATTCTATATAGAAAAAAAAATCACTGTCACTGTCACTGTCCTCCCATTGTTCATCGATTTGCTTGAGCGGGCCCAGTAACGTCTCCATTGGAGACTTTGTTGTTACTGTGTCTGGCATATCGAATACTCTTGGTAGCTGGCCGGGCTCTCCGAGAGGGGCGGAGGAATCGAACTCGGGTCGGCCATGTTGGCTGCGTGCAAGGCAAATGCCCTGCCGCTGTGCTATCGCTCCAGCCCAGTAAAAAACAATAGACAGAAAATTCATCAACAGGCCAGAGAGATAGCTCAATTCCTGGGCTCAATTTCTGGCACATTCTTGTCCCCTAAATACTGTTAGGAGCCAGCGCCAAACCAGAAGTAGCTCCTAGGTACTACTGAGTGTGGCCCCAATTTTTTTAAAAATAAGTTAAAAGACTTTTGGGGCCAGGTATGTGGCTCAGCAATAAAGCATTGCTTAAGGCCTGGGTTGGATCTCTAGCACCACACACAAAAAAAAATAAGTCAGGGAAAAAAATCAGAAATTGTATAGCTGTACTACAAAACAAAGACTTAAGAAAGAAACTGAAATCATATAGGATGCAATATTAAGAACAGACAGAGAACACCATCTAAATAAAAAGCTCTCAGTTCTTCAACGATACAAAGCTTAAGTGTCTACTCTACTCTACCCTCAAATACTGAAAATAATACATGTGAATACTGCAGCCTAAAATTTTTTGAAAAACATGCTTTAAATATAGCTTAATAAAAAAAAGTAAGTTAAGGTCATATGTATATTTACTCCATATGTGATGACATGGAGAAAACAACATATGACATGGAAACACAACAAAAATTATTATATTCAATAAATGGGCTGGAGCGATAGCACAGTGGTAGGGCGTTTGCCTTACAAGCGGCCAACATGGCCGACCCGAGTTCGATTCCTCCGCCCCTCTCGGAGAGCCCAGCAAGCTACCGAGAGTGTCTTGCCCGCACGGCAGAGCCTGGCAAGCTACCCATAATGTATTCGATATGCCAAACACGCTAACAACAAAGTCTCCAATGGAGACGTTACTGGGCCCGCTCGAGCAAATCGATGAACAACGGGAGGACCGTGACCATGACTGTAATGTTATTTTGTTTGACTGTCAGATTAAATCTCCTAAAACAAATTATGAATAAATCTTAATTCACCCATAGAATCTTTCAAAAACTTCAGCCTACTGAGTTACCTTCTAAACACCATAGGCCTCAGTATTAGTCCTACATGTGACAAACATAAACTGTTCTACATAAATTACCTGTTTATCAGAGAGAGGGTACAAGAGTTAAGGTATCTGCCTTGCATATGACATAACTGTATGTCAACTGAACATTTCTGGGAGTGATCCCTGAGCACAGAGCCAGGAATAGCCCCTGAACACCACAGGGTGTGACCCCAAAATAAAAATTAAAAACAAGATTACCTGTTTTTCCCCAGCAGAAGGACACGGAGGGATCTCAGAGTAGAAAGTCCACTAATTTCTTCAATCTGGTTATCATATAAATCCAAGAATATTAGTCTCTGTAGATTAGAAATATTTTGGATCCTAGTTATAAAATTGTGTTGAAAGTTCAACAAACGAAGGTGTTCTTCCCCATCGATAATAGGACATACAGTCAGCTTTTGCCTAGAAAATATTATTTAAAGTTAATTAGGTTCTAATTTGACAGCCTGCCACCTCTTATAAATATTACTATTAGGATCTTTAGCCCATGAATAGAAAGGAAATAAAACCTCCATGAATAGCATCCACAAATGAGGCATCCAATATAGAACTGCAAATCATTTACTTAAAATCCAAACACTTCGATAATGGTAATTATTAAACTGACTCTAAGTTTTCATTGTATGAGAAACATCTTCGGTATCAATTATTTCACACTAAGTTGAGATAACATCAGAAAACATCGAATGTAATTGCCTTCTGCAATGGGGGTTAAGATGTCTCAAAGAACCATGCCACAAAATCAGAGAAAAGCACTGGTCAGCAATGTAAAGAGTGTCTGGGCACAAAGCCATCAGAGCAAAACAATATAAAAAAAAGGTCTCTTACAGAATCACAGACTCATGAGTTAAACAATTCCAAAGAAAGATTAAAAATTCAATTATCTTCTTTGTACTTTTTTGTTTTATTTTGCCTTTATATTTTGGAGACACCTGCAGCTATGCTCAGAGGTTACTCCCAACAGGGTGCTCAGGGGACCATGTGGTGCCAGAAATCAAATGAGGGCTTCCCAACATTATATCTACAGGGCTCCTAACAGTCACTTTTATGAAAAAAAAAATTAACATTGAAATCTATTAATGCTAAGATAGTTCTTTAATGTCTCACTTTAAAGCACAGGTGGCAGCCCTATATTGGGGCTATATAAATTTTTAATGTGTTTCCAAATAAACTCCTTTATGATTTATTGTGAAAAAAATATTTGAGTTGCATAACTACTCTGTATACTGATATACTCGGGGTAACAAAATTTCTTCAGGCCATGAGTGAAAATAGTTCAAAAAGCCCTGATTTAATGAACATTTCCTCAGAAGCTTAGATTTTCTAAGACAAGTTTACATCAGCAACACTAACTCTGAACTCTGATGGACACTTATATAACATTGTGGGATAGAATAAAACCTTAATAAATAGAGCTTTATCTTTAGTTTTTTAAGCTAAATGTATTCAAAATTTTATAATATATCACACATGAAGCAAATATATCCAGGGCATATTATGCATTCTACTAGCATAATAAAATATATGACTGATTCTAGTCTGACACTTTTAAGAGTTTTAAAGGAAAAGGTAACTCCAGTGATCCATGTATAAACAATGACAAAAAGGAGATCAGAAATATTTCTTTTCAACAAAAATTCAGCTAATAAAATCTTAAAAGAAAACAAATTAGAACATAAACGAAACTATGAAAGTTATTGGAATCTTCATAAGGAAAAAAAAAAGAACAACACAAGGAAATAAGTCAATGTTAATTGCTGACAACTATGTGTTTTAAAATACAGATGCTTGGGGCTGGAGAAATAGCACAGAAATAGGTGCTTGCCTTGCGCACAGCCAACCTGAGTCTGATTACTCATATGGTCCCCGGGCATTCCATATGGTCCCCAAGAACTACCAGGAGTACTTCCTGAGCATTGACAGGTATGGCCCCCCCCCAAAAAAAAACCACAAAAATAAATAAAATTTAATATAGCTGCTTATGAAATTAGCTGAAAATTCAAGAAAATTTTAAAATATTAGGTTCAAGTCTTCTAATGTATACTTGATAGCACAGCAGGTAGGGCGTTTGCCTTGTACACAGCCAAGCCAGTTTCAATTCTTCCGTCCCTCTCGAAGAGCCCGGCAAGCTACCGAGAGTATCCCACCTACATCGCAGAACCTGACAAGCTCCTCGTGGCGTATTCAATTGCCAAAAACAGTAACAAGTCTCACAATAGAGACGTTACTGGTGCCCGGTCAAGCAAATCCATGAATAATGGGAGGACAGTGCTACATACAGTGCAATGTATACTTAGTACTTAGAATTTATCTTGTTCAAATATGCCACTTCATACATCCTAAATTTAAAATCACAAGTATTATAGTTTAAGATTTATATTTAACCTTAAATTGCCCTTTCCTGTTTGTCTTCTTCTGTTTCTCACAAATTAAATTTACTGACATCCTCAACTCTTAGTGCATTCCATTCTTGAATCAGTCTTAATTTAAATATGAAAAAACTACTGATCCTCCCCTTACATAACCATGATGGCTTGAAAGAAATCCACCTTATCATATTCTGAATTCAGTAACTAAATCTGACTACCCCATAATCCCGTAACACACAGTTGACCAAAATAGCAAATACACACCAACATCCAATGCTCTCCAGGGGAGAAGTTTATGCAATGTCTACAAAATCTCGAGTTCTATTTGTCCAGCCCATTACTAATGTCTACTGGACTACTTTTTTTGAAGAGTTTAAGAGATTTAAAATATTATGGAAAAGGTAGGACAGTAGAGCAGGTAGTTGCCTTGCACATGGCCAACCCAGGTTTGAACCCAGAACCACACATGGTCCCCCAAATCCACAAGGAGTGATCCCTGAGCACTAAGCCAAGTATAAACCCTGAGCACCACCAGGTGTGGTCCATGAAACAAATATAAGGAAAAAGAAAAGGATAAATAGTTGGAGAGATAGTATCCTGGAAGGGAGCTGCTTGCCTGGCATGGGGCTTGCATGTGGCTTGGAATACTACTGCCTCTGTATTTCCTACTTGGCACCAATAGGCTGGTAGGGCTATTACTAAGACCTAGCCTAACTCCCAACATACCCAGAAATCAACCTTTCCAAGCATTTCTTCTCAGGTCCTATTCTTGACTCTCTAGTCTCCATGCACAGCTATATATAGACCTGCCCTTAAGATACTGCTGTGATATCTGGCTCTCAAATAATGATCCTTGAGTCCCAGTCATGCTGACACTTAACTTTCTTGACCTCACACCCTGGTACTATAAAAATTATCCCCAAATTTATGCCATCATTGTGATCCTGCCATTTCACAGCCAGCTTCTGAAAGTGAGTCATTTCCCTTGGTTCTGGCTTTCCTTGGGAAGCAAGTCATACCTGACCAAAGCATGCTCCACCCAAGAGGAATATCCTACCATGGACCAACTTCCCAGCTGTCTGAGTCATCTCAAGCAATAGCACAAGAACCTAACTTTACGGTCACAGTAATACAAACACTGATGCCTATTAATATCAAGTATCATGAAACTGAAGGGCTGAGGTACTATTCTTGGCAGGACTTTTAAGGACTCTGATATATATTTCTCCCCCAAAATTCTTCAAAACATTAAAATAGCATCACATTGAACTTAGTCCTATACTAAGTTCCTCCCCACTTGAGGAATTAATTCCTTTACCTTTTTCTTGTATTTTTTAATAAACTTTTCTACTTTCAAAAAAAATGGTATTAACAAGTTATAAATATTAGGTAGCAAAAACTCTGAAAAACCTAATAGTGCAAAGATACCCTGAGAGCTACTAACCTCTTACATTACTTTATAAAACAATTACGTTATATCCTCCAAAGAGTTTTTTAGCAATTACAGACATAAAATGACAATTTGCTATCAAAATGCACCATTTTAAGCTAACAGTTTGCTTACAATTTTCGACACATATAAAGTGTTTAGCTATTGATATGCACCACCAAGACAGTTTCTCCTGGACAGGGTACAAAGGCAGGGTTAGAATCCTTCATTTTCCTTTCTATTGTAGATAATCGCCTATATTTAAAGATCAGGATCAATAATATAGTCATTGGTTCCAAATTTTTATTATTCTGCTCTGTTGATGCTTTATTCTTGGGCTGAATTAAACTTCTGGTGTTTATAGAGTTTAATATAGGTAGAAGTAGACGGTAAGTCCAGTCAGTAAAATATTTGATATATTAGAGTGTAGTAATCATTAAAAAGTAAAACAATGCTAAGAAGGAAGCAGGGAGACTGTCTGGGAGGAGAAGGTTGAAGCTCTGGATAGGGTGACAGGGGGAGGTCATTCATGAGAGAAATATGCCTGAATAAGGACCGCACTATAGATCTGTGGAGGAGCAGCATTCCAGGCAGAGGGGACAACAAGGGAACAAATGACATAGAAAGCACTGAAATGTCAGCTAGTGTACTCAGGAGCGGCAAGCATTGTGTGGCTGGAGCATAATATATGGAAGAGATATAAGAAAAAGATGGAGTTAGAAAGTTGGTAAGAAATTTGACAGGATAGGGCCTAAGAGCCCCGATCTCATTATAAAGTATTTTCTATCCTAAAATCCAGTATTCGATATGCCAAACACAGTAACAATAAATCTCACAATGATGACGTTACTGGGGCCACTTGAGCAAATCGATGAACAGGAGGACAGTGACAGTGACAGTGAAAATCCATCTTCATCAGTGTCATATTTTAGAATTAGCATGTAACTCTGATAAGAATATAGTCACATTTTTTACATTCCACAAATACAAAATCCCTCCCAAAACCCTTGAAAGGATCAATTTCAAAACTGGTAAAATTACGATATACAGATAGAAGAACCAGAGAGTTAAAGAACAAGAAAAAGGATGGAGGAGACACTTTTTCACGTTTAAAATCTTACACCATGTCTGTATATCATCTAGTTAGAAAAATAAAATAGCATGCAATAAATTGTCCTCACCTTTCTAGAGTCAACCTGTCTGAGTAAAGAATTTTCTCTTCGGAAGAACGTTGAAGAATGGGAAAGGATGGCATTGATGAACTCACCAAATTAATATGATCACCTATTGAAAATGACATACAAATTACTTGATTAAGAAAAAACTTTAAATCTTGGAATTAAAGTCACCTTATATTTGGAGAACTCTGACACCAACAAATATCTTTTCTAGGAAGTATTGTTTCCATCGGTCTTCATATTTGAAATGGCCGGATTTGAGTTTATCTGTTTAATGCTCAGACCTAAATTATGTGTTATATGTATACCAAATATTTTTTTTCCTTTGCCTTACTGACTGGTTGGAAGCACAGGATATTTCAGTGCTATTAACCCTTCAAACTCCTGATCCCTAAATGCTAAATTTTAAATCTCTTATAACTGAGATGATAGTCCCTCATTACCAGATACATTTGGGCCAGCACTATGACAGCCCAGCCGGATTCTGGAGTTTGAAGGTGTCTGAATGGCAGAATCTCCAAATGCTGATAAGGAGCTCATGGCAGGTTTCATTTCCAGCCCACATAGTTCTGTCACATTTGTTGTGGATGAGATGCATGATGACTTATTACGAGGCGAAGGACTTATTACTCTTCCATCTCCTTCAAAATATCAAAAAGTTTATCACAAAGCTACATAATACACGACTTTGCTACAGGAAATATAGAGAGAGCAGTTTTGGAAAGCAAATTGTAACACCACTTTTTCTTTGTAAGAACAGCTACTATTAGTAGAGAGTACTGCAGAGTTTCAAATGAGTGTCAGTAAGTCCTGTACACGTCCAGATGGATTCACAATAGTACAAAACTGCCCCTGAGATATTTACAGCCTTCCAGTTAGATGTTGTTCCTGCCATTAGGTAGCTTTTAATCTAATGAGTAAATACATTAATAAACCATATCGAATAATATGCAAAAATGAAGAGCAGAAAATAATATCAATTTCTACATTCAGATCTAAGTATGCCTATTTATTTTTCACTTAATGCAGATGGTTTATAGATGGGTTTGAAGGGAGGTAGATACCTACAAGGATGCAGACCACAAGGAGAGGCTGAGAAGTTCCAGAGATTAGATAAGATTTGAGAAACAGACCTAAGGTGTGAGTACAAATTCCAAGGGAAATCTACTAAATTTTTCTATGAATAGAGAATACCTGAAAGCAGCAACTAATGTTGAAGGGAGAAAAAGCTATAAAAAAGAACCTAAGGTTACAATTGAATTTTTCTGCTTAAGCTGACCGACAGCAAGATGAAAGCCAAATGTACAAAGTTAATATATATTTGGGAAGCCATCAGACAATGATAACTTAAAAACAAGTTTCACATTGATCATAGTTATAAACCAGTGACATCTGTTAGATTTTCCAGGTCTGCAAAGCATAAAGTGCCACATGCCTAACTTCCTCAACACAATAATCAATTCTCACACTCTTTTCTAATTTTCCAAAATATCAAGATAGTTAACAATGTTTTTCTAGAGTATAAGCATTCAGGAACAACATCATTTTCTGAACTGGTTTTGTGATGTGACTAGCTATAAAAAGAATTTCCAAGAAATGTGATTTAGTAGACTAATTTAAAAGTAGAAAATTAGACTCAAAAAAAAGACTACCGTAAGAATTAAATAAGGAATGATTTACATTAAAGGAAACATTTCACACAACCAAAAATGCTATTTATAGATTATAAATATATTATAATATGATTATAATATAATATGTTCATATATTATGTAATAGAACGAGACTAGCAGGTAAGGCCTTTGCCTTGCACGCGGCCGACCTGGCCGACCCAGCTGACCCAAGTTCAATTCCTCCGCCCCTCTCGGAGAGCTGGGCAAGCTATCAAGGGTATCTTGCCGGCACAGCAAAGCCTGGCAAGCTACCTGTGACGTATACGATATGCCAAACACAGTAACAAGTTTCACAATGGAGATGTTACTGGGCCCACTCGAGCAAATCCATGAACAACAGGAGGACAGTGACAGTGACAGTGATTATTGAATTTAAAAGTAATTTAACAAAATACATGTTGAATACCTAAAATCAGACAACCTTAACTTTTCCTGCCAGCATCCAACATTTTTTTATTTTGTAAGACTTCAAGTCAATCCTAAATTTAAGAGACAAACTTTGAAAGATGTTAAGTAAAGAAGCAAGAGGCCAGAAAGACATTTCAGGGATTTAGGTATTTGACTTGCATGGTTCAATCACCAGGGTCCCTCATGGCTCCCTGAGTAATGCCAGGTATAGCCCTAGAGACCCTTGAGCATGATAGGGCCTGAGTAACATCCCATCCATGAAAGGAAACTGATCTTCGAGTTGGAAAGACAGCTATGAAATAAATCAGATCAGATAAGACAGTGTTTCTCAAAGGATGCTCCACACAAAATATCATTACAATCACCTGAGATATTATAAAAGTACACATTTTCAAATTCTATCCAAGGTCTTAAACAAAATTTGAACAGGAAACGGTCAAAAATAAATGATCCACACTAAAATTTAAGATCATGATATGAAAGTTACAACTATACAAAGGAAGAGAGTTTTCCTTTTCTGCTCCTAATTTCCCCCACTCTATCCAGTGTCTTCATTTCCACTAAATGAAGAGAATGTTCTCATACTCTTATCCTCATTAATAAGCCATTAGCCATTTTAAATTCAGTTTTAATCCTGTTTTAAATACAGTATTTGGAGCATTCTTTCCCATTCTTTTGTGCATAGCCCATCCTAAGCTAAAATATAACAGTTTTTTTTAATAATAGAAATAATCTATTGTATATATAAGCCCAATCTGATTAAAACAAATACAAAATCAATTTGATAACCACTGAGCCACTTTATTTTCAATCTAAGTCTATTTGGATTTAGAGAACAAAAGAAACCAAACAAACCTCAACAACAAAAAAAAACAGGTTAGAGATAGGGCGGGAGAGTGTGAGGATAGGGGTCTGATCCCCACCCAGATGTGCTTAGGGCTCACTTCTGGCTCTGTGCTCAGGAACTACACCTGGCAGTGCTCAGAGGATCATTAGGATACTAATGATTGAACTGGGTCAACTTGTATGCAAGACAAGAGGCTTACCTGCTGTACTATGTCTCCAGCCCCCAAGATTCACAAAATTACCCAAAGAAGATTAAACCATGTATGATTTCTATTCACTGATAATACCTTGTCTGCTAGAGTAGTTTCTTTCAAGGTCATGTTGTAAGAGTCGACCAGGAAATGGTGATGCCTCTTTATTTAGTCTGAATTCAACCTTCAAAAGAAAAAGCATTATTTTAAAATGCAAAAAATAATTTTAGTAACGAAAAAATACATATAATAATTAACACAAGTTAAAACACAGATGAACCTTATATCATACTGAATAAAATACATAATGCCATATAAAACATGATTTCATTAAGTTATGAAATCTGGAGAAGACAAATAGAGACACAAGGCAGATTTATGGTTTTAAGGAGGGGGAATCAGGAATAACTGCTTAATGGATATAGAAATTCCTTTTCAGATGACACAAAAAAGCTTTGGAACTAGATATGGTTGATAAACTGTACACTGTTCTAAGTGTATTTAGTACCACTGATTTGCCAAATTTAAACTAGCTAAAGGTAAATTTTTAAGTTGTATGTTTTATTACACGCATATGTAAAAAGTCCATTTTTTTGAGGTCAGAAGAAACCGTGTTCAATTCTGAGGTACTTACAAGTATCATCCATACCCTTTCTTTTCTTTTAATCTTTACCCAAGTAAAATGATTAAAAGAATTTTTTTCATTATGTAAACAAAAAAATGTAAAATAAGAATGAAATTTTAGTTTTTATCTTTAGAATTATATTGGAGTCTAATTAAAGCATAGGATTATTTTCTACTTAAATGAGATTAACTTTAAATGATTATTTTAAATGAATTAAAAATTACTGATTTTAAATAATGATAGGTAGGATTACTAAGAAAACCAACTTTTCAAAATGAGCCATAAAAAATCTAACGCATATCTTAAAATACTCATTATGCTTCTATTTAATTCATACTATAAATAATATGATATCATTCATATGTAACCTAGCATACATAAGATAAGGCTATTTTTTCAAAAAATATCTACACAAAAGAAAAATGACTAATTTGGGGGAAAAATTAGATGAGGCACAAAGTTCTAAAACAAGTTTTAATGGAAGGACAGGATTTGTCCAGTGAACTTAGCAAAGCTTTGAGGAAACCCATTCTGTCCAATAAAGAGGGTTTTCAATGAATCCAACTAAACACTAATCAAAATGATGAAGGATGATGGAGGGATGAGTGTTTGATCATTGTGTGATTGTAACCCAAACATGAAAGCTTGTAACTATGTCACAGTGATTCAATGAAATTTTAAAAAAAAAAAAAAGATAAAGGAGACTTCTTTCCAACTATTTGTTTTTCAACCACATAATGAAATCAATAATGAAATACTGCATACTCGACTTGTAGTGTATTTCCAACCACCCTACTAAAGGTCTTCCTCCTTATTCTGTCACCTGTAAACTCTAGCCTTTGGATAGAATTCATCTCATGACATCTATTTGACATATCTTAGGGGGAGGGAATGAATTGTAAGGGTTGGAGAGTCCAAACTGTTTAAAGGAAGAACCACTGTATTGTATCCTAAAGAAGTTGTGCTAGATGAATAACATGAGTAATTAGTCAGAAGCTAGAAACTGTGGAAGAGCCCCAGGTTATATGGACAAATATTTTAAGCAAAAGGACTGTCATATTCAAGTAACTTCTAAGTAGCATTAATCTTAATATATTGCCATTGCTAATCTGTGTTTTCTCCCATGATACTAAATAGAATGTGTAGACTATTTCCCCAATTTATCCATTCTAAGATTCCATCAGTAGTACCACATACCATTTTATCCTCTACCAAGAAAGAAAAAAAACTTACCTAGTTAAATTATGATGTGGCATTTATTTGAAGGATTCTTATTTTTTACATGTCAAAAAACCCTCATTTAACAGGTTAAAAAAAATCCAATTTTCACGTGGTTTTTTTTTCCCTTTTGTAGACAAAAAAAATTTAAAATTAACCGTACATCGGAGACCAAAGTAACTATACTGAAAATGCCTGACTCAGATTCTACTCTTAAATTATTCCATTTTTGGAGAATATAAAACAATGTCCCCAATTCAAATATAAATCTGGTGCTGGAGGCATACAGGTAGGGCGTTTGCCTTGTATGCAGTGGACCTGGGATTCCAGCCCAGCATCCCATATGGTCCTCCTAAGCCCATCAGAGGTGATGATCCCTGCTGGCAGAGCCAGGAGTAAGCCCTCAACACCACCAAGTGTGGCCCAAACACCAATTAACCGATTAATTGATTGACTGATTGATTAACAAATCTACTCAAATCTTACTTTGTTTCTTTCAGGAAGCGATGAGGTCTGAATAACAAGATGAAGCCCACAATTCACCTGCAATGTAAGAAAAAATCAAACCATAAAACATGCTCAAAGCTTACATGCCCACACACATCTTTCTCCCCAGAATAGGATCAAAGACAGACGTATCAACAACAACAAAGGAATCCAACACAAGGGCTTGCTATTTTTACTCCCCCCGCTTCTGGCATGTGACTCTTGGGGGAGATGGGCTGAAAAACAATCAAAAGGTTTCGCTGAGGGTTCCAAAATGTCTGCAGCGATTGGAGCTGTGTGCTGGGCAGCTCCTCGCGCTGCTGACACTCGGCGCTCTCGCGGTCAAAATAAACCCCGGAGGGGCTCGCAGAAGGGCAGCGGGAGCGCCGGTGCATTGCAAATCGTTTCCTCGACCGAGCGTAAAGGAAGGAGAGGGCTATGGCTCCGACATCCCAATGAACCGGGGTCTCGCCGAGCCGCCGCAGCCGCGGCCAGACAATAGCTCCAGCGGCCCCAGCATCAAGCCCATCACCTGGCACCGGGGCGCCCGTCGGGGACGACGAGCGCGCAACGGGCAGGAACGAGAGCGGGAAAGCCCCCAACCTACGTTGTTTGCTGAGCGGCCAGAAACGGAGCGGTATTTCCCGGGAATCATGGCAGGAGGCAGTCCAGGCTCGGTTAGAGCGGCCTTGGAAGCGACGCTCCGGCGGAGATTCAGAGGAGCCCGAGAGGGGTCATCGCCCAGGCAACTGGCTCAGGGGTTGCCATGGGAACCACCGCTTCCGGTCTGGTCCTCTCCCGGCCGCCGGCCGAGCGCCTCGTCAGCGCCCCGGGTTTTATGGGGGGAGGGTTCGCGGGAGGTGGGGTGGGGGGCGATGCGGGGGGCCCCGTGCGCCGGCAGCACCTCCCCGTTCTACCTTCCCGGCCTCGCGAGGGCGCAGCGGGAGTGCGGGATGCGCCGGGCGGAGGCCGGGAGGGCACCGCGGGAGCCATGGCAACCGCCACTTCCGGTCCGCCCGGCCTTCCGGCCCGCCCCGCTCCGCCCGCGCCAAATTTGGATCCCGCCGCCGGCGCCGCCCGCGCGGGGAGTAGGGGGGAGAGAGCAAAGAGACGGGTACCCGGCCTTCGGGGGCCCCCCGCGGCACTTCCGGCGGCCGGGAGGCTGGGGGCCGGCCGGCGCGACGCGGCGAGGACGCGGGCGCGGGCTCCGGGAAGCCGCTCCGCCGCCGCCCGAGGGCCGGGGCCGTGCGGATGCGCTGCGGCCGTTCGGGCCGGGGCCGCCGCGCCGACAGGAACCGGGCCGGGGGCCGCTCGGTCATCGGCTAGGCCCGCCGGTCGCCCGCCGCCCGGCACGTCGCTTCGGTTAGCCCGAAGAACCCGCGCCCGAGCTCGTGCTGGCGCCGCGCCCCGGAGCCCACGCAGGGGGCCCCGGTCCAGCCCCCCTCCGGCACCTCGGCAGCGGGAGTCCCTGGCGGGGCGCAGGGGGACCACGTGGCCAGGCGCCCCCAAACTCACTCCACCTCGGAGTTTCCCGTTGCCCCCTCCGTGGGGGTGCGCGTACAGGCGAGCTCCAGAATTCTGCTGAACCGCTTGGCGATGATCTGAGTTCTTTAATCCCTCCCTCTTCAGCACCCATTGCCCTTTCCACGAGAGTCGCCTTCAATCTCGGCCCCCCCCCCCCCCCAGTTGTTAAATATGGGTTTGAGCTGGGTGAATTGCAAGGATGGGAGTTCCTGACATGCGTGGCATACCGCAGTCCACCCGGGGAAAGGTCCGTTATTCCCATCAAAACGGTGAAGGAGGGGCATGTGATGAAGACGGAGCTCGAGATTAACGGTGACTTTTCGCTTCTAAACGACCCTCGACCTCATGACTTCTACTAAGTGATCCTAGTGACCTGAACTGGCCCTCTTGGGAGCATTTGTCGCACTTACTTTACATATTGCCACTGCTGCTTTATTCTCATTTTCCCTCTCCAAAAAGGCACCCCTGTTTTCACTAATATTCTCAAACTTCAGCTCTATCACTATTACTAAGATTAAAGTGTAGTTGTTAATCAGATCTAAAAAGATGTTCATTTCTGGAGATGGAAAGAAGCTTTCACCAAGAAATGAAGGAATTTATAGAATTTTATAATTGAATCCTCAGTACACATCCAATTCAAACACAATTCAAATACAAGGAAGCCACAATAGGAGATGAATAATTTCCTCATAATCTTTATAATCCTTGTTCCAGATCTACTTGCCAGACCAGTACTCTTTTCTACAATTTAGACCTAAAAAGTCATTGGGATAGATTCGTAAAGACCCTCTAATAGCATCCTGCAACTATGTGATAATGGACAAAATTACACAATTTTTAAGTCACTTCCTATTCTATTTGCCTCTACCACGTTGGTCCTAACCAGGTCCACTGTTCTGTTGCTCACAGTGCAGCCGTCACGTTGGTCTTTTCAGTTATTGGACAATACTATATAATCCCCTCTGATCAGTAAGCCTTTGTGGTCTTGTTCCAGGTAGTGCCTTAGAATTATTCCCCTCATCCTCATTCCTGTCTTTAGAAATCAGTTCAAACAGAGCTGGAGAAATAGCTCAAAGGCCTGAATTCATGCCTGGCAAGTACATTGTCCAGGTTTGATTCCTGGCAGTACATGTCCTGTCCACAGCTACACTTGGTCTGACCCTAGTGACCCCTATTTACTGCTGTGCACAGATGTTACCCCAAACACCTGAGCCAACCTTCAACACAGAGTATCAATAGGAGTGGCCCCCAGAACCTTCTAGCACTGCTTGTGAGGCCCCCAAAAGAAAATTGAATCAATACCATGCCCTTCCCCATTGACCTTATGTATTCCTAGTCTCTGTATAATTCACATGTTTCAGTAGTGCTATACTACAGTAGAACTCAGGACAGTTGTTAATAATTGTGTAGTCTGCCCAGTTTGTCCCGAACATTAGAATGTAAGTTCCATATGAGCAGGGATTATATCAGATTTGTTTATAATTGTATCTCTAATACCTAGAGAAATATTTTGGAAATTTAAGGAATTCAATAAATGGTTATAAAATTAAATGACTATAAAACAATTTTTATACTGTCATAATTTTCAGTCCTCTGCCAGTTTTACTTCTCATCAAATTATAATAGCAACAATACACCTTACTTCCTTTGAATCATAATCATCATTGCCTGCAGTCACTGCAATCTTTACTCAAGCACATCTATCTACATCTGTATGTAAATATAAAATTGTATTTTAAATATAGATATCAACATATATCATAATTTATGCCATTTCTGCACAAGTTTACCACCAATTAAAAATAATAAAGGCTAATGAAATAATCGAAAGTTTTGTAATAGAACATCCTTCACTGAGAGCCAGGAAAGACACCAAATATAGCCAATAAGTATACAGAGTCAATATTTCTCATAGTCCATATTATATTAATATGCTTGCTGTATGATTATGGAACAATCTATGGGTTCCAATAATAGTTACTTTACAATTTAACGAATTTTATCTAGTCATTAAGCTACCGAGAGTATTCGATATGCCAGACACAGTAACAACAAAGTCTCCAATGGAGACGTTACTGGGCCCGCTCGAGCAAATCGACGATCAACGGGAGGGCCTTTACCTTTACCTTATTAAAATAAAGAAGTCGGGGGTATGGTGCCGCCAGCAGGTTAATCTGTACCTGTGAGGCAAGTGCATCAGCAGCCTGATGGCGCCTTCAGACTTCTAGATTCCCCAAAACTGCTGCTGTGTGTTTGGCCAAATGCCAAAACCTTGGGAAAAGGTTTACCAAGAAAGTAAACAGCCAAGAAGCTGGAGAGAGAGCACAGCGGGTAAGGCGTTTGCCTTGCATGCAGCCAACTCGGGTTCAATTCCCAGCATTCCATATGGTCCCCTGAGCCCCGCCAGGAGTAATTCCTGAGTGCAGAGCCTGGAGTAACCCCTGTGCATCACTGGGTGTGACCCAAAAAGCAAAAAAATAAAAAAATTTTAAAAAAGGAAAGTAAACAGCCAAAAGTTAGGGAGACACACCCACAAACCATCTCCATCTCAGCTATATAATTGGAGGCATGGCCTCTCTGGTTCCTGATTGAACTGCTTAATGGCCATGATCCCAGAGACTCAGAAACAAATCTCGAAACCTAACGGTTTTTGGCAGAAATGTGTACGGTCTCTGCAGTAGGCTGCCGGTGCTGGGCCACCACAGGTGGGAATATGTTTTGTATCTTAGCCTATTCCCCCTGGCGGCCTCGTGGCCGTCATCCTCCAGAGGCCACTGGACAGTCAGATTTGGGCCCACAGTGACGACATGTGGGGCCTCACAGGATGGGGGTGAAGCCGGTCCTTTCCTCCCCATGCCAATGAAACCCCGAGTTGCCACCCACAAATGGCCTCTCTGGCTCCTGATCAAGTTACTTAATGGCCATGATCCCAGGGACTCAGAAATAAATCTCGAAACCCAGTGACTTTTGGCAGAAATGCTTGTGGGACACACAGTAGGTTACTGTTGCCGAGCCACCCCAGGGGGAAAAGGGTGTTGTCCCTCCGCCTGCTCCCCCTTAGCGGCTCGGTGGCCACCATCCACTAGAGACCACTGGAAAGTCAGGTTTGGGCCCGCAGCGATGAGACACGCGGGGCCTCATGGGATGGGGGTGCAGCCGGCCCTTTCCTTCCCATCCCAACGAGACCCTGAGTCACAGCCCACAAACAGCCTCTCTGGCTCCTGATCAAGCTGCTTAATGGCCATGATCCCAGTCCGAGACTCAGAAACAGATCTCGAAACCTAGCAGGTTTTGGCAGGAAATTTCTCCAGAATTAATTGTTAAAATTTCAAAATTGCTCAGCCACTACTGCAACCTCACGACAACATATATTATTCATGACCAACAGTAGAAAACAATTTGTCTACTGTTGCCTTTTCGGCAGATCTGAGTGTTGGGGTAAAATCCCAAATAATAATGGTGGGGGTGGTGTCGAAATTTGAATGTGATCAAAGTATAGAGAGAGTGGTTTGGAAATCATCTGCCCCACAGGTAGGGGGAGGATGTGGGATGGGGATATACTAGGGTTTTTGGTGGTGGAGAATGGGCACTGGTGAAGGTATGGGTGTTTCATTGTATGACCGAGACTTAGACCCGAAAGCTTTGTAACTGCTCTCACGGTGATTCAATATACAAAATTATTAAAAAATGGGGGGAAAAAAGTAAGGTGGAGTTCATGCAAAATTCAATCAGCCTAATCAGTGGCTGAATAAATAGCAGTACTCCTACATTAAAAAAAAAAGAAGAAGAAGAAGAAAATCTTTCTATTTGCAACAATGAATAGATCCTAAGGGCATTATGCTAAGTGAAAAAAAAATCAGAAAGAAATAGTCTATGACACTGTTCTAGGGGGTTGGTGTTACAAGAAGATAAATATATGTACATGTCCCATGTCTAGAAAGCTTAAGAAAAGTTTAGGGGCTGCCTCCAAAGAAGAAAGTGAGCTGAAGAGCACTGGTATTTTGCTTCATACCGATGTGATAGTTTTTTTTCTTAACTGTTAATTTTACATTATTTTTTAACCAACTGCATTTTTTTAAACTATTGTAGTATAGCAAATGTACAGTAAATGCACAATTCAAGTCATCAAGCTATCACAAACTGAACATGTGTAACCAGTTCTCAGATCACAGAGACAGCATTACTGGCAACCAGGAGTCCCTGTATCACCCAGTCCCAGCACCCACCCTCCTCAAAATGATCAGATTGTTGGAGAGATCATGCCTCATGAGTTCACAAAATATGTGGGTGC